CTGAATAGCTTCATTCCATTTTGGCCAATCATGTCGTTTCCGACATTCTTCTATTGATGTTGGCTCATTGTCATTGTTTTCATTCATAACATTTGTGGCAACGACATAAACAAATATCTTATTAATATCAACATCTTTACGATTCCATTGTATTCCAGTAGAAACGTAGTTTATTGAAATTTCATAATTATCAACATTTCTATCATTATCTGGAATATCTTCCTCGTTTAAGGAAGTTGGATCATCATTTGAGATGTTTGTTTTGTCATTATCATTTTGTATGTCAATATTTTCAAATTGTCCATTTTCTTGTTCAGAAGGATGAACATCTTTGGCATCACAGACCAATTCCTGCCTTTTAGTTTTTCTTGGTTTTATATCTTTTGATCCAAGTGACCTGCCACGCTTTTTGCGTATAGAAGAATCATTTGCAAGAGATTTTTCAAAATTCTCTGTTGGAATTTCGATTCTGGCAGGAGCATTCATAGCAGGAATATGTGACTTTGTCACTTTCTTTGTATCTGTGAATGAATCAGGCAACTGATTTGCAACATTTTGTAAATGGATTATCTTTTGCACCTCTTGTTCACATATATTTGATCTGAAATCAAGGTGTGATAATCCTGTTGCATTCCATGTTATTTCTTTCGTACTTGGGTCCGATTTATTAGTTTCTCCCCCTAAGGTTGGGAATACTGTCTCATTGAAATGACAGTCAGCGAATCGTGCGGTGAATAAGTCACCAGTCATCGGTTCAAGATATTTGATTATTGAGGACCCATATTTGTACGATGAGGTGGAGCAATTGGAACATAAACAACACAACCAAATATTTTTATGTGTGCTAAGTTTGGCTCTTGTCCAGTAACTAATTGCATTGGGGAATATTCATGATATGCAGTCGGTCTAAGCCGAACTAAATTTGCTGCATGTAAAATAGCATGTCCCCAAGCTGATGAAGGTAAATTACACTTCATTAATAATGGTCTGGCGATTAATTGTAATCGTTTAATCAAAGATTCAGCAAGACCATTTTGTGTATGGACATGAGCAACAGGGTGTTCCACATCAATCCCAATCGACATACAATAGTCGTTAAATGATTGAGATGTAAATTCTCCTGCATTCTCAAGTCGGATTCTCTTTATAGAATGATCCGGAAAATGAGCTCTTAATCGTATGATTTGAGCAAGGAGTTTAGCAAATGCTAGATTTCTAGTCGATAACAGAGTGACATGTGACCAACGTGTTGAAGCATCAATCAACACCATAAAATATCGAAATGGTCCACATGTTGGGGCTATCGGCCCACAAATATCTCCTTGAATCTTTTCTAAAAATGCAGGTGATTCAGTTGCAATTTTGTTCATAGAGGGTCTGATGATCATTTTGCCAAGAGAACAGGCCTTACAAGGAAAATCCCTTGATATTGGAACCCTTATATTCTTTAATGGGTGTCCAAGTGAAGTCTTAATGACTTTATGTATCATTACATGTCCTGGGTGACCTAAACGGTCATGCCACAACATGAATGTTTTCTGATCATCTAACTTTGTGTTAGAAACCAAATTTATTTCAAATGGACTAATATATGTGAAATATAGTCCTGGGGAATATGCTGGCATTTTTTCACAAATATATTTAGTGTCAGATTTAGTTGTTGTAAGACAAATATATTCCTTTTGGTTTTCATTCATGGTTTCTATGTGATAACCATTTTGACGCATATCTTTAAAGCTTAATAAATTCCTCCGCGATTTGCTGGAGTATAAAGCGTCATTTATAATTATTTTGGTCCCGTTAGGGAGCATCACATATGCTTTCCCAGAGCCTTCAATGAGCTTCGCAACACCTGATATGGTATTGACTTTAGCCTCAACTAAAGTCATTTGAGAGAAATATATTTTATTTCTCAAAATGGTGTGCGTTGTGGCGCTGTCTATCAGACATAGCTCTTTATCATTTGGGTGATCCATATCTTCAAAATGTGTAAATAAACATAAGTTTGATCACAAATTGTGCATATAATTTAACATAAAGTACATATATTACACACATTTATTAAAAAAAAACAAAAGAAAAAGGGAAGAAAGAAAAAAAAATACATAAAACTAATATGTTACAACATAAGGATCGGAGTCTAATATTTTATTTTGTGACATTTTGGTTTATTGCAAAAGCATCGTCCATAATGGCATCATCCGCGAAAAAGTCGGACACATCAAATTTTGGCAGAGGTGGAGTCGTGTCGTTGACATAATTAGCTTCCATATTTTTGGCGTTGTTCAAGTTCATGGAAGCTTGAAATAATTCCACCAGATGCTTTGCAGTGTGGAATTTGTTAGCCCAATGCCCCGTCATGCCACATTTATAACAAGTCGTCTTTACCGAAGTTTTTGGAGGGCGATTTATTTGATGGGCCTTTTGTTTGTCCTTGCCCTTATAATTTGGTCTATTGACCTGTTTATATTCTCGGTGTGACTTGTTTTTATGACCATTAAAATGCCCACGTTTAAAATGCCTTCTACTGCCACTGTATGTTGCATTTGATTCAGTGGCTAAATTATGGCCAGATGGACCATAAACCGAAGGACTAGAACCAGTGGGTCTCAGATTATGATTTTTCATCAAAAGGTCATTATTTTGCTCAGCTACCAATAATACTGATATTAAGTCGGAGTATTTTTTAAAACCTTTTTCTCTAAATTGTTGTTGAAGCAGCATGTTTGACATATGCATAGTGGAAAAGGTTTTCTCCAACATATCAGCGTCAGTGACTTTTTGTCCGCATAACTTTAGTTTAGATGTTATTTGGAACATGACAGAATTATAGTCACTGATTGTTTTAAAATCCTGGAATCTTAAATTGATCCAGTCATACTGAGCTTTTGGCAAGAGTACCTTTTGTTGGTGGCCATATCTCTCTTGTAAATTGTCCCATAATTCTTTTGGATCATCAACCAAAAGATATTCAGATTTAAGGCTTTCATGAAGGTGGTGACGGAGGAAAATGATAGCTTTCGCTTTATCTTGGGAAGATGATAGATTGTTGGCTTCAATTGTATCTTCTAAACCATTGGCTTTAAGATGTGCCAGAGCATCGACTTTCCATTCAAGATATTTTTGACCAGACAGATCAAGAATGTTGAATTCTCTTTTGCTTATGTTGGCCATTATATAACTACAAAATTAGTTGTTTTAAATTTAGTTAATAATTAGGAATACATTAAAACAATTGATAGTGATACATAGTCATTAATGTAAATAACATACTTTACCCATATCGCATATCCTAAGAAAATATGAATTTATACACATGAATAATATGTGGAAATAAATTAATTCGTAGGTGATTTGTATTTGTAATGGGTCATATATAATAAAGTCATCATTTGGGTTGATTAAAATAAAGTACGAAGAGCAGTGGAAGAAAAATTTGAAAATTGTTCGGTATACTCAATGTCACTATGTCAGGCAGCCTAGTTAAATGATACTCCCTCTGTCCCATATTTAACTCTGGTTTTGACCGAGCACGGGTTTTAAGATAGTGAGATTTGTGTGGTGGAGAGTTATGCAGAGGAGAGAGAAATGTGTAAGAATGGTTGTGAACCACATATTCTTTACCAAAAAGGGAAAAAGGAGATAAATTTGAGACGGACCGAAAAGGAAAGAATGAAGATAATTCCGGGACGGATGGAGTACTACTTACTTTGTTCCTTTGTTTTGATTTAGCAAATACGTAGTAATAAAAACAAAAGTAACCGCACAACAATTGTAGTAGTCGGTTCTAAGCTATCGGTGCTTTTAAATATATTATATTTTATTCTATTGTGTTTATCGAGTCATACCCGTGATCACTCCGACACAAAAATGACTATTCAGATTGAATTACTAGCCTATGCATGTGCAGGTAATACCACGTATAACAACAATGATCTTGATCTCTTCTTTCTATTTCTGCTTTCATTATCTATCTTTCTTTTACTTGCCTCGTATTACTACGGATGTATTTTTATTATGAAGTACTCCGGGTATGAAGTATAATAATTTAATTCAACTTCTTAGAGCCGAGTTGCGATATCTACGTATTACAAGTGCAGAGATGTTCACTTATTTCCTTTCTTTTAAGAATTAAAGGTACGTGTATTTTCCTTTTGTGTATATAATGGATGAGTTTAGTTTTAAACAAACTGAACATATATTTCAAGTTTGAATACTAAAAGAAGATAATAAATATTAATGCTAATACCTGCATGAGATGATGATATTTTGAAGATTTTGAGCAGATTCGTGCTGATAACATGTTGTAAAATGAAGAAGATCAATACTAAATTTATAAGATAGATATAAAGATTTTCTGAATTTCTGAGTTCCATTTACAAAGGGTTGATCACCCTATTTATACTAGTTGTTTAGGAGATGAATCATTAAAGAATTATTCTACATAATCTGCTGGCAACATTAAACCTAGTCATCTGTCTATTACAAGGATGAAAATTGGATTAATGTCATGATGACAAGGATGAACAATTCACACTTGTCAATTCTCAGGATTTCACAACAGAATTAACAATTTTCCGTATAGTAGGAAAATTAGGGGGAGGAGCAGTCCCACTCAAAATCGTCAATAAAGTGTAGTGGTACATCCTGTCTGGTGGGCTCTACTTGGGACAAAATTGACGTTCGCCCATAAACTACGTGCCACGTGGATCTCATTAAGCTCAGTACGCGCGGCGGGTGTGTATGTGACCCACCAGTCCAAAAAAAAAAGAAGAAGTAAGCGGTGGTCTTGCAGTCTGGCGTGAATAAGCCACGTGTTGAGGTATCCCTTTGAACCACAGCCACAAAATCCCTCGACGCTTCTATCAATTTCTCACAAAAGCCCCACATATGTTGAATAATTTCGCTCTACCCCAATGACGTGGCGCTCTCTGCCTTCTCCTTTTCTCCTCTCTACCCTTTTGTCTCGCCATTATAACTTCTTCTGTCTCTCTTCATCCCCTAATCTCTGCTTCAATCTTCCTTATCCTCATCGACATTTGCAGCTCGTTTTTCTGTCCCCGGGATCCTGCTTTCGACATATTCCGTTCGCCGCTTTCAGCACCTCGATTGCTGTTATTTTTCTTCCATTTCCGTTCGTCTTCAACTTCAATCAAGCAGTATTCGAGCTTTGCATATGTTTTATGCCTCAATCTTAGGGTCTCATCTCGATCGTTAGACTTATATACCCCTCTGTATTTGTGTATACGGGGTTCGGCTCGGTTTCAAGTAATTCAACCGTTTGATCTGTGAATTCATCGAATAATTATAGCTGGATGGGCTGAAATTGAAGTTCTCTGATTTATGAACCTTGCTAGCTAATAGATCCTTCATATTAATACGACTATGTTTGTCCCAAGAGAAGTGTGAAGATTTTGTCGTCGCTCGTCAGAATCTTGCAGCCGTTGCCAGATTTTTCTGAAAATTATCGCTATGGCTGAAATGACTCGACATGTGAGATTCTTTTTTTTCTGTTATTAATCTTTCTCTGCCAAGTTGATCGCTCTCTAGCCTGTACTTGGATATTCTGAAGTGATATAATCTCATACTCCGTACGTGTATACAGAACATAGGGTTGCAGCAATAGTATTTTTCTGATCGTAATGGTAGTGAATGATAGTAATGAATGCTAGAACAATGATACTTGATGCATTATTGAGCTAAAAAGGTCATTTTTAGCTGTGTAGAATTGATTTAGATATACTCCGTATAAGATATTAGGGAGATGTTAAAGCTGTAGAAAATGTAGTTCAATTAAGGAGGCCAATTTTAGACTATCAATAATCCTTTTTTCCCCAACTTAAAGTAACTTCCATTAAGGTCCATAGTTTCATACTGGATTTATAAATCTAGTATTGGATTAGGAGTTGCCTGAATTGACAGTTAATCAAATAAAAAAGTTGAAGTATCTCCGAAATAATAATTGAAAAATGAAACAAAGCTTTGATACTCCCTATCTTTCAAATTAAAAGTTCCAGATTACTAAGTTTGACTAAAGTTGAAGCTGACTTTCCTACTTATATTTAAATTAGTATTAATAATTAAAATTCACATATTTAGAAGTCGCACTAAAGTTTCGCCAAAGACTCACTATTTTTTTGTTTGAGAATAGGATGGAATAAAGCAAAATGGGTCACTAAACTGTCTGCGCTTCTTTCTTATGAAGCAGCGGTCGGTCTAAGCAATTTTGGACGCAATGTTCACAATAGGTCATCCAGAAACAGTCTCTCTGTGCTTTAGTACAGTAAGTACCTACTTTGAATATGATAAGAAACTAATACATAAAATAGTAAATTAGAAGAGAGCTGGATTGACTGCAAAATAGAGAATATAACTTTTATAATGGGAGTACTATGACTAATGAAAGCAGAAAGCTAATGATCATCTTGGTTAAAGCTGATCACATGTCTAGTAATGATTAGCAATGTAACCATATGCCAAAAAAGCACAATATTGGGCTAATGTTACGCAATGGTAATGTACTAATGTACTTCGGACCGTGATTAATAATGACCAAGATCTTTTCTAATGATCAAGATATTTGGTTGGTTAACACTTTAAATGCATTTGATTAAATGTAGGATCAAAATGGAGGGGCAAGCATCTTTGCTTCAATGGATTTGGAATTCTCAGATACCAGGAGCAGCATTCAACAATTTACACCTTTAGATGAACATGCTTCAAAGGTTTGTGCTTCTTACACCTGTTTAGGCTTGTTTGTTTCTGGGAAAATAACTAGTCACGCAAAATATTGTCTGAGGTAATCTTTTCCTAGAAAATGAAATTTACCCGCAAAAATACCAAAAATACCCGCAAAAAGGTTAACATGAACGGATGATGAACCTATTTTTATTAAATTCTCTAAGGATGAAGGAAATTTTCAGGTGCCAAACTGCCCAAACACATGAAAGTCTTTCTTAGAAAATGTTTTCTTGTGCCAATATTAAGAACGAAGGAAAATGAAAGGATGAAGGAAAATGTTTTCACGTGAAAAAACCTTTTCTAAATATTTCCATGGAAACAAATGAAGCATCTGTGTTCAAATATCAAGACTTCTTTTGTTTTTGCATTAATTTATGTGTTTTATAATGTAACCAAATGTATTTGAAGTGTAAATCTACAGAAAAAAATGAAAAATGCATGTGTTTACATGCAGTAGTGTTATGTGGTCTACCAAACTACACCTTATATTCTAAACTAATTTTAGACAATTCGTTGATAATATAATTTTCATGCCTCCAGTTTCAACGTAGTTACGATTAAGGCAACGACGACAAGTTTTCTCAACTACCTATTTTACATCTAAATAGGTGAGGAAACCTTACACTATCACGAAGCAACGGGAGAGATGGACAGAAGAAGAGCATAGCAAATTCCTTGATGCCTTGAAACTATATGGTAGAGCGTGGAGGCGTATAGAAGGTAAAAGCTTGGCACCTTATATTATTTTCTGATCACATATTGTGATCTCCCTTGAACACCCTTCTTTTAATAAAATTTAACACTTACTAAATTGGCAGTTAATGTCATTGTCATTTTCATTTACTAAATTGGCAGTTAATGTAAATTTACATAGTACATGCATTTGATTACATTTCATTTCGTTACGTCTTACCAAATACATCCTTAAGGAATTTCTTTTTGTTTCTAGAGCATGTGAGCACAAAAACTGCAGTTCAAATTAGGAGCCATGCCCAGAAGTTCTTCTCCAAGGTTTACAGCTATTAGTATATCCGTTCATATCCTCTCCCATATTATCGTATAGGCAGCCTTTTGAAGTAAGGAATGTTTCTATGACACAAGGCGTGCAAGTATGTATGACTATGTGTCTATGTGGATATGATTTATTTATGCTAGTGGTGATTTCTTATTGGTCAGGTTGCTCGTGAGAAGGTGGGTAGTGATGTCATTCCTGCTAACCCAATTGAAATACCCCCTCCTCGTCCAAAAAGAAAGCCACTGCACCCTTATCCACGCAAACTAATAAGTCCAGGTGGAGGTCCGGCCCAAGAGAATCTGGCCACCCAATCCCCAGCTTCTGTATCATCTCCGCTTGATTCAGAAAGTGAAGGCCCAACAAACTCCACTGTTAATGGTAGCATGGTTGTTTCACCAGGTCCTGGTGACAATTCTTCTAGGTTTTTTGTACCTTCTGAACAATGTGACTTGATGGTTGAAGAGATCAGATCTTCATCCTCACTAGTCCAACAGGATACTGCTATTCCTAGTCCAAATGAGCAACCTTTCTTGGTACTATACTGTTTCTTTTTTATCTTTGTAATTTCTAATTACCTGTGGACCACAGGCTGTGGTGCTCTAAGTGTTGGTATCAGAACATAAATAAGAATGTGGAATCTAAGTATCAGTTTAAGTTCTTAATTGAGACAAAATGTCCTACGCTCGAACCTCTGTGCCACCCAAAACAAAACAAAACAAAACACACACATAGTATTCACCCATCATGATCGAGCATCACCCCGTGGACTTCTTGAGATGTAAGAATTTAAATAAGTGTGAAATCAACCTATGGGCTTGAGATTTTAGTTGTGTTAATACTGGGGCATTGTGTGGTAATCTCCGCCTATGGGGCCTTCATCTAGTGCTTCCACGGTTCCACCACCAGTTAAATCTTGTTCTCATTTCATGATATATTTTAGTTATGGCATATCACATCCTATAATACTTTAGGTATGGTTATAAGTTCATCATTCAAAGCGTAAGAGACAACTGTACATGTTTCCAAATTGATTTACTACAATAAGACACCAATTGTGATGTGGCATGTTAAGCTATCCCAAACCAGAAAAACATTAAAACACAAATGATCATATAAATATTGGGCCTATTCCTTTATTCACCTATAGGATGCTTAGGCATGTTTGTCAACATTAATGAGAGAGTACTGTTACTTATGCCTGATTGCATTGTTCGATCCGTGTATGTGCAGAGGCTAGAATTATTACCTAAAGAAACCGAATTCATGGAAGACTGTTCAGCAGAAGCATCATCATCACACAGACTGAAGCTGTTTGGGAAGACGGTATTAGCAGCTGATTCCCATAGACCATCGTCATCCCGGGCCTTGGAGTCACTCTCAACAGACGAAGTGGAAGATATGCCTGCATCACAAGCATTGCCTTGGGGCTTGGTTCCAGTGAAACTTTTCCTGGGTAATTCAGACTCCTTATATTACCCGTTGGTTGTTGCTAAGTCTCAACTGTGGGGGTCGCCATGTGCCACCACTTCTCTTTCTTGTAGTACCCAACAAGTGCATGATCCAATGCCGATCAAAGTACAATCAGTTTTTGAAAACAAAAAGAGGGAAGAGCAAGAAAACCATTTGGAAGCTTCTTCTATGAGTTCTAATAGTAAATCAATTGAGATCAGTAGTATGAAACTCAGAGCAAGGTCCACCAAGAGAAAGAAAGGTTTCTTGCCTTACAAGCGATGTTTAGCAGAAAAAGAAAACCATGCTTCAACAATGATGGGGGAGGACAGAGAGGAACAACGAACCCGACTATGTTTATAGCAAGGTCCCGCCCCTGGTTTTTGCTGTTTTCAAGCAGAGATTTTGTTGTCAAGGGTGAGAATATGACTTATATGAGATGTTTAGCAGAAAGTGAAAACAATGCTTCATTAACTGGGGAGGACAGAGAGAAACAAACGAACCTGACTATGTTTATAGAATTATAGCAAGGTCCCACCCCTGTTTTTGCTGTTTCAAGCAGAGATTTTGTTATCAATGGTGACATTCTAACTTAGGGAACATTAAACGATAGAGCAGAAGCTTGTGTCGTCTTCTTCCCCATTCTTTCGTCACTACACTTGTCATCATGTATACAATGGCCTAAATAATCATGTGTGTGTAATGTTATTCTTACATCGCACATTCTTAACAGGACCCCATGTCGCGTTCTAATATCTTAGCATTTTTTTGTTGTAAAATGTAAAAAATTGTAAATGTATTTCCTTCTCTGTTTATTTTTAATTCTGATGCCATATGCAGGTTCATGTCAGTAGAATGCCGAAACTCTTTTGAGATTCAAGTTTGTTGGGGGTAGGAAATTGTAAATGTACAGTACATAATTTTCTCCTATATTATATTCGCCGTGTCTGTGATACACGCTTGATGGAGGCCAATCGTGTAATTTAGTCGTGTGATGTGAATCGAAAAATAAATATCACTATGTATGATTTAGTCGTGTGATGTGAATCAAAAAATAAATATCACTAGGTATAATTGGTATAATTTAGTCGTGTGATGTGAATCAAAAAATAAATATCACTAGGTATAATTGGTATAATTTAGTCGTGTGACGTGAATTGAAAAATAATTATCACTAGGTGCAATTTAGTCGTGTGATGTGAATTGAAAAATAAATATCACTTGGTTATCTGTTATCGCACGGAACGTAATGAGTCATTTGTCACCTCTTGTGATTAAAGGGCATGTTACATTTAATAGGTTTGTTACATTTAGGATGTTTTTACTTGGATTGTAATTCGTCCCAGACCAGATCAGACTTGGATAGTTATAAAAATACAAAGAAACCAGATCAGACCAGACCAGCAAATTACAGTTCAAGTAAAAATATCCTAAATAGATCTGTGTACGGTGGCAAGTATGTTAAGGTTACTAGATCATCCGGATGGAGTGCGGCCTTGTCGGATGATGTTAAATATGTGAGGGCAATGTTCGAGGATGGTGTAAATTGTAAAATATGTGAGGGCATGGTGGGTAGAGATGTCAATGGGGTGTATCAAGTATGGTTACACATTATTAACTATATATGCCTTGTTGGGTACTTTCCTGTTGCGTAACGATTGCACTACCCAATGAGTAATTCTTATTCAAATCTTAACTGCTCGATGAGGGCATGGTGAGTAGAGATGACAACAAGATAGACCGAAGACAATTATGCATATAGGTGTATCTACTCTGTTGGGGACTTCCCATCGCGTAACCACCTCATTATCCCATGATTAGTTCTTAATCAAATCATAATTGTTCAAGGGTTACGTTGAATTATTGAAATCCAAATATGTTATTTTAGAGAGAATGAAAGATTGAATAAGGTAGGAGAGCTGAGAATGAGATGATGAATAATGTTTTGTGTGTGGTGGATGAAGTTGGGCATCTATATACAAGAAAATATGAGTTGGGCCACTGATATGGACTCGATATGTTCGACTACATAAAAATAATCTAATAGATACAAATTGATAAACTAAACTATACAATAACATTAAGGGGTAATTTGAGTTTGCACCATTTTATTGTTCAAATTGGACTTTGCGGCCAATTTTTAAAATTCTTTGTATTTGCATCTCAACCCCGTGTGAGAAGACAAAAATGTCCCTTGGTCAGGAATATTTTGAAGGCCAACATAATTGTTAATGGAGGGGCATTTTGTCGTTTCGTACGTGGTTGCGGTGCAAATACAAACAATTTTAAAAATGGGGTGCAAAATGCAATTTGGACAATAGAATTAGGTGCAAACTTAATGAGGTGCTAACATTAAGGGTATTTCTATTCACAACCACTCATTTACTAAGTACAATCACATATTTTCTGCAATCAATAAAAATATTAAATAATTCCTATAATATCCTTATTATACAATCTAATACAGCTTGTAGGCTACTTGAAGATCTGGACGTGGCAGCCCCATCGAATCCTAAACAGAGGCCAAAACCTTCCACGGACCCGGTCGGGTAAGCCTCCTTACCCGGTCGGGTTTCCAATCCAGTGTGTTGCCCGGCCAAGTTCACATCATACCCGGTCGGGTAATTCTCCTTACCCGATCGGGTTTCCAATCCAGAGTGTTGCCCGGCCAAAAAACTACCTCATACCCGATCGGGTGACTGACCCTACCCGGTCGGGTATCTCCTGCTGCTGCAGAAACAAGGCTCCACCTTCAACAATCTCCCACTTGGAGGCTTGTTCAACAATTATCTGCCATCCAAGAACTTGTATCCTCTGTAAAACTCCTGATCTCTCTCGTTCACGCCTTCTCATCAAGTATCTGGAAGGCCAGTTGAAGCCATGCATAGCTTCAACTTCTCTGTTGTCACCGCTTTGGTTAGCATGTCTGCTGGATTCTTTGTACCAAGGATCTTCTGCAAATTTATAGTACCATCTTCAATCAACTCTCGGATGAAATGATACCGCATCTTGATGTGTTTCGTTCTACTGTGAAACACCGGATTCTTTGCAAGATGAATAGCACTCTGGTTGTCACAATATAGAGCGCAATCTCCCTGCTTCATGCCCAACTCAGAAAGAAAGTTCTTCAACCAGATCAACTCCTTGGCCGCTTCAGCAATGGCCATATACTCTGCTTCTATGGTTGAAAGAGCCACACTCTTCTGTAGTCTGGACATCCAACTGATTGATGTACCTCCAATAGTGAATACATACCCTGTTGTGCTCTTCCCGGAATCATAACAACCCCCCAAATCAGCATCGGCAAATCCTTCAAGGATCACACCATTCCTTCTGAAATATAGGACAGTTTCAGAATAGCCTTTCAAGTAGCGCAACATCCACTTAACTCCTTCCCAATGTATCTTTCTTGGATTTGACATGAATCTGCTAACAACTCCCACTGCATGAGCAATGTCTGGCCTTGTTGACACCATCGCGTACATCAAACTGCCAACGGCTGATGCATAAGGAACTTTAGCCATTTCTTCTTTGTCTTCATTGGTCTTTGGAGACTGCTGCTTGGAGAGTTTCAGTTGACTCCCTAACGGTGTACTCCTTGGTTTGGCATCCGTCATTCTAAACTTCTCAAGGACCTTCTGAATGTACTTTTGATGTGAAAGCTGTAAAGTACGTTCTATCTTGTTTCTGACTATGCTCATCCCAAGAATCTGTCTCGCTTCCCTTAAATCCTTCATCTCGAATTCTTCTGACAACTTCTTCTTAAGCTTGTTGATCTCCTGCATATTTGCTCCAGCCAATAACATGTCATCAACATACAAAAGAAGGATGATGTATGATGACTTGGATTCCTTCAAGTAACAGCAATGGTCCATCTTGCATCTAGTGTACCCATTCCGCTGCATAAAACTGTCAAACTTCAAGTACCACTGTCTAGGAGCTTGCTTTAGCCCGTATAGACTCTTCTTGAGTTTGCACACCAACTTCTCCTTACCACTCACTGGGAACCATACTGGTTGAGCCATGTAAATGTCTTCTTCTAGGTTGCCATGAAGAAAAGCAGTCTTTACATCCAGCTGCTACAATTGCAAATTTTCAGCAGCAATATAATAATACCAAGGATCAACCTGATAGTAGTCATCTTCACAACCGGAGAGAAGATTTCATTGTAATCAACCCCCTTCTTATGTTGGAACCCCTTGACAACTAACCTCGCCTTGTATCTTTTGCTCCCATCTGCTTCATCTTTGATTCTGAACACCCACTTATTCTCCAAATCTTTCTTTCACGGTGGTAACTTGACTAAGGACCAAGTTTGGTTCTTGTCAAGTGAATCTAACTCATCCTCGATGGCCTTCTTCCACTGTATGGAATCTTTCACGGTCAGCGCCTCTGTGTAAGATTCTGGATCTCCATTCTCGGTCAGCAACAGATAATTTGCTGAAGGAGAATATCTGTTAGGAGGTCTTCTGTTTCTAGTGGACTGTCTCATTTGTGGAGTAACTGCCTCCGAGCTCCCACTATCTTCATCACTTCCACTATCTTCAGAAATTCTTGTATCTCCTGAGCTCCCACTGCTCCCTGAGCCTCCAGCCATGCCATCACAACCAACAGGTTGTGCTATGTCGTCTTCAGTCATCCCTTCAAACATCATTTGCTGTTTGTTTTCTGGTTGCTTGCCTTTGCTAGTGTCTGCTGCAAGATCATCTTTATACAGGGCATTCTCGTTGAAGGTGAAATCTCTACTTCTGATAACCTTCTTGCTGTGGTTGTCCCAGAACCTGTAGTCCATGTCATCCAGCCCGTACCCAATAAAGATACATTTCTTTGTCTTTGCCTCGAGCTTGTCACTATCTGCATCTCTAACTTTGACATAACAAATACAACCAAAAACTTTCAAGTGATTAAGAGATACCTCATGACCTTTCCATTCCTCCTCTGGAATTCTGAACCCTATGGGAGATGAGGGTCCTCTGTTGATCAAGTACACTGTTGTGTTCACCGCATCGTCCCAGAACATCTTTGGAAATCCTGCATGCAATCTCATGCTCCTGGCCCTCTCATTCAGTGTTCTGTTCATCCTTTCTGCAACACCTTTTGGCTGTGGTGTTTCTGGAACCGTCTTCAGCATTCTAATCCCCTGTTCAGCACAATACTCTACAAACTCTGTGCTACTGTACTCACCCTGTAACACCGACCCCGAGCATATTTACTTTTAGTAAATTATGTAATAAACCTTGAAAGATGATTTATGAATTTGCGTAATTGTAAATTTTTATTATTTCTTTTACGTGAATAGTAAATTGCATGTGGGGCCCACAGCGGGACGGGGACAGCCCGATAATTCCCGAACCACATATTATATTCATCTTGGTCTAGATAATATGTATATGGTGGTGGATATTTTATTTGGGCCATAAGAAAAGCATGGGGTTGACCGGTTGGTCAAACGGGGCCCAATTACCGGTATTGGTAATTTAACGGATAACAGCCCGAAATGAGTTTCGGAGACTCCTAAATTAATGTTGGGGAATGTACATCTATTCTAAAGGCCCATAATTATTAGGAACACGTGATATATTTTATTTGGCCCGATAAAATAAAATATAATTAAAACGGACCGAGAAATACAACTTTCGGGGCCGATTATACATACCGGGACATAACGGGATGACCTCCCACATAAGTGGGGGCCACCCCACGTTTTTAGGAGTGCTGATGGACTGAGTGAGAAGGAGAGGGGAGCAAATAAGTGTGCTGGTACGCACAATAAATGGGAGGAAGCCTCCTAGAAACAAATGAACATGCTCCATGTCCCACTCTTGGCATCTCTTCTAATTGGATGAGGGGAGATGCCTCCCCCCTACCTTGTGTCATTCGGCCAGCACAAAGCAAGAGAAGCCCAAGGGAAAGCAAATCTCTAGTTGGAGGAAGAGAGAAGCTAGGAAAATCCACAAGAAATAGCTTGTGT